TTGTGGTGGCTTTGGAAAACTAGAAATAGCTGGGTGTTTGATAAAAAATGGGTTAGTGAGGAAAGAGTAGTGAAATGTGTTTGGGATGAGTGGAACTGTTTCAATTCTTGCTTGGGATTGAACATATTAGGGGATAGAAATGGGAGTGCTGAGGGTAGAACAAGGTGGAGGGATGGAAAGAAGCAACTGGAAAAGAGAAATGGCAGGGGTGATGGTACTGAGTCTGAGGACTGTGTTCAAGTAGCTGTGAGTTGCTGATGTACAATGGCAGGCTGGGGATGGGAGGGCAGGTTTTAAAGCAGAACAAGGTAATGCAAATGTGGGATGCATCTAGGGATTTCATAGGAAATTTAGTGGAGGCTCACTTAACATGACTTTGTTGGGTTATGAACAAAGCTCATCAGCATAAATGGAGGAGAATCACTTGCTTTGTGGACAACAAAGAGCTATGGCTGAGGACCCAAGAATTGCTGGGAGATAAAGAGCATGGAAACAGTGCAGCTGGGAACTTCTCTCATTTGTTTAAATGCTTTCAGTATTGTAATTTTGTTTTGGATAAAATTGTGTGTAAGGATTGTAATGACTTAGCCAAAATGGCTCTTCAAGGTGATTTGTAGAAATCATTCTTTGGTTGCTCTAGCTTGTATCCTTGATAGTTAGGGCTCCGTTGTGCCTATTTAGGCCTCGATTTGTAAGACTATATTGTTTGAGTAATCTATATTTGTTTATTTTTGGAAAAGAGAGAGAGAGAGAGAGAGAGAGAGAGAGAGAGAGAGAGAGAGAGAGAGAGAGAGAGAGAGAGAGAGAGAGATAGAGAGAGTACTAATCTTGATTATATAAACTGGCACTTCTTTTGATTAGTTTTGGATTTGGATATTTTTCAAATTCTTAAGATAATTTTGTTAACTCACAATAAAAACCTATCTTATATTAGATAAATTTTCTCATTTAATGCAATTTCACTTATAAATTATATTAATCTATTTATTTAAAATAAAATGTAAGATAAAAATTATAAAAGAATAATATATTGGATTATGATGGGTCTGCTCCCAGATCTGAAACGGTTTGATAAGAAAACGTCCGGATCTGGGATGAACCGGTATGAATGAGCTTAGATCTGGCCTGATGACCTTCGAGCCGTTGCTGAATCGCACGAACACCTGCAAGAACTCAACGCCGGAGGGTTTTTCCGGCGTAGAGCCTCCGACGCTCAAGTCAGTATGTGAGAGAGATGATGAGGGCTGCTATGAGAGCAGCAGCAGTAATAGAAATGTATGGAATGAATGGGAGTTAGGGTTTTGGGCTTACCTCAGTCCTTTATATAGGAGTGCAATATTTACCTGAAGTCCCCAAAATACCCTGGCCGACTCAATGGAAATGTCCAGAATGCCCCGGTCGGTTCATATTCTGTCCACCTCCTAGTCAGCATCTAGATCCTTCCTTAGCTTCCTTCTTATCCTTAACTTTCCTTCAATATGCGGAGGTGTGTCAAAGCTATCGGGCACCTCGAACTGCAAGACCCCTTCAGTCGACTTGAGGTATTGAACCGAGTCGACTGGATCGCATTCCATCGTTAATGGACCCTGATTCGTCTGATCGCTGTCGGGGCATAGGTCGACTCGTTCCAGTCGACGGGTATATGTCGACTCGGTCGAGAGCCGGGCTTCTTGATTGAATACCGTGAAACCCTACCGGCGGAGTCGACTGTGTTGTAATCGACTTTGGCAGTTCCGAACCATGATGATATGAACCGCTATGAGCCGATTGTGACAATGCCGCGGTTACTGAACCGCTGCACGATAGTATGGCTATATCAGATTACATGTTTATATTAACCCAAATAATATGATATATCAAAAACGAGTTTAATATACTTGGGGGATATTAATTAATAATATGAGAACCTTTAGAAAATATTTATGGATTTAATTACTAAAAAAATAATTATTGTCATCATTTATATGATAAAGAAATTACTAAAATGCACTAAATATAGTACATTTTTTAAAATAATAAATTATTACTTAATATTTTATAGTAACATTTTGATATTTAACTTATATCATTTTATAAGTTATTCATTACTTCTACATATAATTTATAAAATTATATAGTGTTAATTTTTATTTTTATTTTGAGCAAACAATAAGCTTATGATATTAATTTTTATTTATGGAAAAATGCACTAACATGTGGTATTACATGTTAGATAATTTTTTTTGAAAATAACTTTACACACATTTTTTATTTTTCCTTTCATTGTGTTATTCAATATGAGAGTCCAATCATATGTTACAATGTTACATATTAAGATTTATTTGTAGTAAATAATTTTTTTCATTCTATCTTCTTAGTTTTTTCTTATATATGTATATATTAATGTACATAGCTTATTATGTAAATATATTTTAAATTTTAAATTTTAATTCCTTGTGTGTTCGAAAAATAATTATATATAATAGTGGATTTCTTTATGTATATTGACCAAAATAAATACATAAAATATGAAACATATTCTTGAAACATTAGAAATATCTAAAAAAATCAAAGGGCATAGATCTATTGCACATGTTTATTACATTACAAAATTTTTTGTGTCAGTATAAAAATGTATCTTAATTGTTGTATAATGTCATGTTAGAATTTATTCATCCATAGAAGACAACTATTTGACCAAATTAATTAGTCATAACAGTTTCAACATTAATGGTTGGTAAAATAATGAAAACATTAACTTGCGTTTCGAATTCAAAAAAATAACTTTCTAATTTTCTCCAAAAAAACTTTGGGTGGAAAAATTCGTTATAAAAAAAGCACAAGAAATTGGCTAATAATAATAATAATAATTAATAATATTATAACTTTTAGGAAATATGTTATGGATTTTAAGAACTACGTGCAAAGAAATTATTATCATCATTTATATTATAAAAATTATATTATTTTTTTTAAAAATCACTTGCTTTTATGTCAACCGAAAACCACGTGGATTGGAATATAAACTACTAAAGTACAAAAGGCTTGTGAAACTCTTAACTAATACTAGCTTATCCATATACAACGCTCAAATTGTAGTACAATAAGTAAAATGATATATCATTGACTAATATTTTATTATATTTTTATAATAACAATTTGATATTTTACTTATATTATTTTATTAGTTATTAATTACTTCTACATTTTAATTTTTAAAATTATGATTGTTAATTTTTATTTTTATTTTGAGCTAATAATACACCGATGATTTAATAAGCGACCAGTTAGTTCTTTATTTTAATGTCATGTAATTGGTGTATGAAATAATTGTTTATCTCTTTTTTTCATATTTGTATTTATTTTCAGCATAATGTTTTTCAAACTAATGTGGAAATAATGCACTAACATGTGGTATTTCATGTTAATTTTTTTTTTTAAGAAAATAACTTCTCACACCTTTTTTATTTATCTTTTCATTGTATTACCCACTATGAGAGTCCAATCATATGTCACCATGTTACGTATAATATTTATTTGGAGTAAATAATAATTTTTCTCATTCTATTTTTCTTAGTTTTATATATAAAACTAAGAAAATAGAATAAGCAAATTTACACACACACACACACACACACACACACA